TTCCTATGAAAGTGTAAAAGAGTGCGATTCTGGGGAGAGGGGTACTACGTGTAATTCGGGGATGGGTACCCTCTTGAGATTTAATAAAATCCATATTGTTGACATTCATACTTTACTCTGGGGGGATTATTACTGAAAATGAATATCTCTTCTTTAGTTTACATTCTTATATTCAGCGTTCTGGTATATTCAATTAATCGTTCTTATTTCTAAATTTGTATGAATAATGTAACAGTATCTCGTATATGTCAACATCGTGAGTTAATTTATTCTGTACAACCTGTCGGACACGTGTAACGCAGCCTTTTGTGATATTAGAGAACACCAAACACGTAACGAACGAATATCGGTTTAACGAACGGTAAACTTGTTTACCTTGTGACCACCTGTGTAATTGACGAAACGTACGGACGAATCACACATATAGAAAAATTGAAACTATTTGTCAATTTGATCAGTACAATCGCTTTGGTGTTCCATGTACTAGTATGATATAAATATATGCATATGTTCAGGTGTGTTTTTATTGATTCCTTTTAATTAAATTATAATAAATGAAAATTAATCTATATTATATTAAAGCATTGGCAGACCAGAGGGGGGTTCTTGGGGTTTGAACCCCTACTTTTTTTGTAGAGAGAGAGAGAGAGAGAGAGAGAGAGAGAGAGAGAGAAGAAGAATAGCTTTTCTGTAATAGATAATAATACGTCTAATCATTTGAAAAATAAAAAAAAATCGCTTTCCTTTCTGCTCGCTAGACCTGTAGATTTTTGCGTATTTGCTTTCCTCCGTGTACCTTCACAACCCCGTCTAAGGGCTTCGAACATCCACCAGTAACATATAAGGAAAATTCCATCGAACTCTACCTATACCATTTTTGGACCATCTTCAGAAGTAACTAACTTTTAGAAGTATGCATATTAAATATTTTTAATCAATATAGAAAAATGGTAAAATGTTCCTGTAGTATGGAGGGGGCTCATTTTTGCTTTGTTTAATATTTGTCTGGTTTTTTTTTTTTTTTTTTTTTTTTGCTTGTCAAATGTCTTGGAGCCCCCCCCCCCTCTTTTTTTTATAAATGAAGCTACAGACTTGAAGTGGCCATAGTGTGATTCTATGCATGAGTGCTGGGTACACCGACCTGGAACCTCCTCCCCCGCCCATGTTAAAGGATGACCTTTGTTTATTACGATAAATTATAAATGTCTTATATATGGCACGCCATATTCACAAAAATGAGCAAAACACAGTTTCACAGTCGATAAACTAGGTTTATCGGTTGTAAACTATAGTTTACGGACTGTAAAGTATAGTTAACAAGTTGAACGTTAATCTATATTTTACATCTGTAAACCATAGTTTATGCGATAATCTACGTTTCAGAACCGTAAACTAAATTTAACACTGCAAACAATCATCCGCGGTTGCAAAACATAGATTATCTGATAAATACAGTTTCATGATTTGTAAACTATGGTTTACAGCTCTTAAGTATAGTTCACGATCTGATAAATATAGTTTCACGATCTGTGAAACTATGATTAACAACTCTTAACTATAGTTCACGAATGTTAATTATAGTTTACAGATCGTAAATCTATGTTTATCAACAAAATATATCGTAAACGTTTTCTTACAGACAGATAAACGTAGATTAGCATTCGTTAACTAAAGTTAACAACTGTTAAATATAGTTTTACAGATAAAACTATATATAACAAAAGTTAACTATAGTTAACCAATTGTTAACTATAGTTTACAGTTGATAAATCTAGTTTATCAACTTTGAAACTATGTTTAGCTTATTTTTGTGAATTTGGCGTGCCATACTTATAGGCTGTAACAATTATCAATACGACGCTTTGCAAGAGCTGAGAACAATTTAACAATAGATGATAGATGCAAATTCTCATCTAGGGTGTCTATATAAGGAACCCGCTATTGATATTATAACCCGATATTGGTCGTTCATATCTAACTAGGAAGTGAAGAAATATGTACTAGCAGTTAAACTGTCTAAATATTTATTCAGCGGCGCATCCAGGAATTTCAAAACGGGGGGGGGGGGGGGGCGATGTAGAAGCATTAAAGCCCCCAGTAGTTCCAGGAGAAAGCCCTGGTGGGGATCCAGGGGCGAAGCCCGCGGAAACTGAGGAACTCTATAAGAAATTAGAGGTGTTTTCTTGTTGATTTGAAGATAATACAAACAAATTCAAAGAATTCAATGGGGAAGGGGGCGCACGCCCGGCGCGCCGGTGCTGGATCCGCCTTTGAAATAATTACAAATATAAAGCGAGTGATGATATTTATAAACTAGTAAATACGGTTTATATCGTCTAATTACGTTCGTTCGTTGCGTGTTTGGTGTTCTCTATTTCAAGGAGGGAGAGGGCGATTTAAGTTTTTAGAACGTGTGCCCAATCCCATCGTATATATTTAGTGCAATAAAATATATGTTCAAATCAGATCGTGTTATTACGTCGCCCCGAACGAAGTACGCATGTTTTTGTTTTCCAGGCTGTTCCTTGGAGATGGCTGGGACAATATTTCTGAAACTTTCCTCAAAGGACGATCATTGGTTAGAGTTGTGTTGTTTGGTCATTCAGTTCAAAATTTCTACCGTTGCCATGGAAACCTACAAAAAGCGACGAATTTTGTCTGCAAGTGTTCTCTCTGGTCCCTTGAACATTCATGAAACTTTTTCAGTGATTAGTACTAGTAATTGTAGGAAATAGGGGAACAGTTCGGGGCGACATACGCTATTGCTTGCAATAGCAGACTCTCTAGTTAATATTTACATTTTTATTTGTTTTCTCTGTGATAACTCTTTGAAAATCAGCTAACAGGTCCAGTCCAAAGACTATTTCTACCTACGTAGCTATTAATAGCTACCTAGGTATTTAAAGCTACCAAAATTAGCTATTTTTACCTACTTTATATAATTTCTGCACTTTGCGACCAAAAGACCAAACGGCGCAACATGGTGAATACCATATTTTTTGATACGGTCACACTACTGATGAATACGACAAAATTTTGGCCAAAAAATTATTACTTCCTGAATCGGCAATTTCACATTAGTTTCTATGCAAAATTGATAATATACGAAGTTTTCATTTTTTGGCCAAATTTTTGTCATATTCATCATCAGTGTGACTGTATCAAGAAATTTTGTGCTCACCATCTTGCGCCGTTCCTGCATTTGGCCACAAAATGCAAGTAAGTCAGAAAGTAGGTAAAAATAGCTACTTTGGGTAGCTTTAAATATCTAGCTAGCTATTAATACATACGTAGGTAGAAATAGTCTTTGGACTGGACCTGGCTAATGAGGCGTAATATGCTTGTCGTGCAGCTGTCTTTCTGACGTAAGTGAGCGGGGACCATTGAAATTTGCATGACCATGACTCCTCTTGTAATTTGAATCTAACAGAAAGCATTTTTTTTCACAATTTTATTTCACAATTTAATGTAAATATACGGAATCATTGTCTAATTTGTTGGGTATGACAGGGACATCAATGACAGTTGGAAACGTGGGAAAATTTATATTAACCCACCTGGTAAACGCAACAAACTAGACAGTGATTCTTTGAATATATGCAAGTACTTGTGACTTCATTTAAATCACCTGTTTTTCTCATTAAAAAAATTTCTTTTGATTTTGTTCGTTTTTTCTGATATGAGGTGTCAAAAAACAAGACCCACATGAACACTAAACGTTGAAAAACTTGGAATGGTCTGAAAGAAAAATATCACTTTTGAGATGAGAACCATTAATATTTCTTCATTTATACAAACCTGGGAGTTCCAAGAAGATCACAAATGACCTTAGCCGTTGTCGTTATTCCTATTGATCTAACGATTACAGATCCCCACTTTCCATCAATGTATACCTCCACTCTTCCGGAAGTTGGAATAGCTCCATTAACGAGTCTAACAGGAATCGAGTCTTTAAAAATTGCAAATAGAAAAATAAAATGTTTAATGTAAGTAAAGTTATTAAAGAATAAAATGAACATTATATACAAATGCAATGTAAGCGATGTTTTGTCTCACATGTATGAAATATATATTAGACACTTTTTTGGTGTAAAGATAATAAAATAAAATAAGTTTTTGTGTAAATAAAAATTATCAGAAGCGCGGGAGGGGGAGGGGTGGGGAGACATGTATACCATGCTCTCGTCATCATGTGCATGTGGGTGATACTATGTTGGCATATTTCTGCCCCGCAAGAAATATTGCAATAACATGGGACATTATTATGTAAGCATGCGAATTATATTATGCCAGGTGCAAAATTATTATGTTGACAAGCTAATTGCCAAACTATGGTGGCATATTTCTGCCATCACTCGTCAGATGTTTTTGTCGACTTGTCATATCTTTGTGATGACTTGTCAGATATTTATGTCAGGTTGCCTGATAAAATCATCATGTATACAGAAATTTGATATCTAGTTATTACAGTGCTCAAGTAAAAGCCATCAAATGACATCTATCCATCGCCATATCTTTTAAGTCGATATTATTTTCTGAAAAGTAAATTATACATGTACTAGCTGAAATCCCGCGAAAGCACAGAAAAAAATTATATTTTTGGTAATGTTGTGAGGTGTGTTGTATTTGTATTATTTCATCATGTATATTATTAGTAACATTAAGTTTCTTGAACATTCCAGAGTGGTCAACATGTTTGGTCATTTTTTCTAGAACATTCTTGAACTTTGTTTATGTCTAGAACTTTCCAGGAATATCATGTATTTACAATTTCTAGAATATTCTAGATTTATATTACTGTATAAATACCCTGTCAATTCGATGCAGAGAGAGAATTGTCGTATAAGCATCATTGAGGTATTACTGGGATATAATTTCACTGGGACATTGTGTGCAGCAACGGACACTCTGATGTATGTATTTTTAGATTTTTGCTAAGTTTGTACTTAATGATTTGTATATTACTGTAAATAAATTATTGTTAAGTTTAAACTGTGTGATTGATCTTTGCTGGCATTTAGGGTTATTCTGACCCATAACAGAATTGGGGGCTCGTCCGGGATAAAGAATTTCTTGCACTTTTGCAGTTTATTGTCAGAATTTTGTTTATTGAACCGTTAAATTTGATTATAAGCCAGCAGAAATCAACATGGTGTTTTCGGTCACAGACTTTCTTAGTTCACCAAGTGTTCAGGTTTTTGATACGTTAAAAAAGGATGACTTGATCGCATTAGGTTTGCATTTTGGGTTAGATGTTAAATCCTCTCAGAGAAAGCAAGACATTAGAATTAAGGTTGCAAACAAACTAGTAGAAGAAAACATCTTTGAAAAATACGATCTTCCAGAATATACAGTTAAAACAGAGTTAGGCTCTTACAAAATGGCAGAATATCAGTTTCAATTAGAGTTAGAGAAAATGCGATTAGAAAGAGAAAAATTAGAAAGAGAAGAGCGAGAAAGAGACAGATAAAGAGAAAGAGAAGAACGAGAGCGTGAACGGAAATTTGAATTAGACAAATTAGAAAGACAAGAGCACTTTGAGTTAGAGAAATTAAGATTACAGCATAAACCAGAACCCTCATTTGTCAAGAATGAATTTGATGCAGCAAAAAATATTAGATTAGTTCCAAAATTTCAAGAAAAATCTGTAGACAAGTATTTTCCCCAATTCGAAAAAGTCGCAGAAAATCTTAAATGGCCACAACATGTTTGGTCAACAATGTTACAAAGTGTACTGGTTGGCAAAGCAGCTGAGGTATACTCTGCACTAGGGGTAGCTGAAAGTTCAGACTATGAGAAGGTCAAAGCAGCAATATTAAAAGCATATGAATTAGTACCTGAAGCGTATAGACAAAAGTTCAGAAAGTGTAGGAAGTTTGATAATCAAACATTTGTTGAATTTTCACGAGAGAAAGAAGATTTATTCGATCACTGGTTTAGATCTAAGAAACTTGATAAAACTTTTGCTAATTTGCGCCAAGTCATCCTGGTAGAAGAGTTTAAGGAATGTGTTACTCAAGATTTGAAAACACATCTAGAAGATAAGAATGTTAAAACTCTTGAAGAGGCAGCAGTCATATCTGATACTTATGCTCTGTCTCATAAAAAGAATTTTGTATCAAGATCTCAGACTAGCAGTAATTCTACAAATTCAGACACATATAAAAAGAGTTGTTCAGGGTCTCAGTCTTTCACAAGTTCCCAGTCTCCATCCCAAGGTGGTTCTAAGTCCGGTCCAGGACGTTTTGAAGGATCTTCTTGAATAGGGTCGCTTCCTACTTGTAGTTATTGTAAGAAAAAAGGTCATCTGATCAGTGAATGCTTTAAACTTAAGAGAAAAAATGACTTTGATAAAACTCAACCACATGCTTGTGCGGCAGTTAGAGGAGATAGAGAAGCCTTAGTTTCGATTTGTTCTGACACTCCTGATGTCCAGGGTTCACAGTCCAGTTCTATTGATTCTATGGAGGATTATAAGCCCTTTATGTCTCAGGGATTTGTTTCACTCGGTGACTCTAGCGAAATAAAACCTGTCCAGATTTTGAGAGATACTGGTGCTGCACAGACGTTATTGTTAGAGGGCGTGCTTCCTTTGTCTGAGCAGACTTCTGCTGGTGGGTCAGTTTTATTACAGGGTGTGGAGCTAGGCGTCATTGATGTTCCCCTGCATAGAATTAGTTTGAAGTCAGATTTAGTTACTGGACTTGTTATCGTAGGTGTTCGACCTACTCTTCCTGTTCCAGGCATTTCTTTGTTGCTAGGCAACGATTTAGCTGGTGGAAAAGTTGTACCAGATCCTATAGTTTGTGAGAAAATCACTCCAGATGTCATGTGCGATGATGAAGATGATGACATTTATCCAGCCTGTGCTGTTACTAGAGCGATGGCCAGAAGACGAGAAATGGAGGCAGACCATACTCAAGCCTTTGACGAGACGAATTCCTCTGTTGATATTGATTTGAATGACACTTTCTTATCTGACCTTGATGGCACTCAAACAAGCATGGAACCACACAATATCAAGAAGCAAGAGAAGAAAGAACTGTTACCAAAATTTGGTGGTGAGGATGATGAGTTGCATCCAATAGTTAGCCAAGGCAAGGACATCCTCAACGTTTACTCTCTGAACAACATAAAGACCCAGGTATCATTCAACTTAGTAAGAGGGCACTTCCACCAGAAGAGGCTACTAAAGTTGGAGAATGCTTCTATATGAAAGATGGCATCCTTATGCGAAAATGGCGACCACCTGACGCTTCTCCAGATGAAGTGTGGCGTGTTGTTCACCAGATAGTGGTCCCAGCTGCTTATCGTCGAGATGTCATGAGTTTACTTCACGATACACCTATGGCTGGTCATTTAGGTATCAATAAGACTCATAATAGGATTTTGAGTCATTTTTATTGGCCTAAGCTAAGGAAGGATGTTTCTGAGTTTTGTAAGTCGTGTCATGTCTGTCAGATGGTAGGTAAACCGAATCAGAAGATACCATCCGCCCCTCTCCAACCCATTCCAGCTTTTGAAGAACCGTTTAGTCGAGTGTTGGTGGATTGTGTAGGACCTTTGCCTAGCACTAGATCTGGAAACCAGTATTTACTTACCATTATGTGTACATCCACTCGGTTTCCTGAAGCCATACCTCTTAGGAATATAAAGGCAAAGAGCATAGTTAAGGCCCTAACCAAGTTTTTCAGTTTTGTAGGAGCACCCAAGGCAATTCAGTCGGATCAAGGCTCAAATTTTATGTCGGGGTTGTTCCAGCAAGTCATGCATGAGTTGGGTATTAGGCAGTATAGATCAACTGCTTATCATCCTGAGTCCCAGGGAGCGCTAGAACGTTTTCATCAAACCCTAAAAACAATGCTGAAGACCTATTGTTACCAGTATGAAAAAGAATGGGATGAAGGGGTTCATCTTGTGCTATTTGCTGCACGAGAAGCAGTCCAGGAGTCTCTTGGGTTCAATCCTTTTGAATTGGTGTTCGGACATACAGTTAGAGGTCCTTTGAAATTGTTGAAGGAAAAGTGGCTGACTGAGACTAGTGATCTTAATCTTTTAGATTATGTGTCTGATTTCAAAGAAAAACTTTACAATGCTTGTAAATTAGCACAAGAAAATTTGAAGAGTTCTCAGATGAAAATGAAAATGTGGTATGACAAAGATGCCAGAAATAGGGTGTTTAAGCCAGGTGATAAGGTTCTTGTATTTTTACCTATTCCTGGTCATCCTTTACAGGCCAAATTTTATGGCCCTTATGAAATTGAAAGCAAGATCAGTGATGTAAACTATGTGGTTAAGACACCAGGTCGACGTAAAGAGAAACGGGTTTGTCACATTAACATGTTAAAAGAGTATTTTGAAAGGTGTGACCGAAATTCTGTAAAACCAGTTTCCACTTTAGCCAATGCTAAGACTGTTCAAAATTGTATTGAAAGTGATACGAGTGTAGAGATGAATGAGAAAGATTGTAATCAGAGTGTTCGTTTGAAAAACTCAGAAGTTTTGGCTAATTTGGATGCCAAACTTGGACATTTGAACATTCACCAAAAAGAACAAGTTAAAAACTTGATGAATGAGTATCATCAAATCTTTTCGGATGTTCCAAAGAAAACTAATGCAGCTTGTCATGATGTCATAGTGAGTGACGTTCTGCCTATCAAACAACATCCGTACCGTCTCAATCCAATAAAATTGCAGTACCTAAGAAGGGAAGTGCAGTACATGTTGGACAATGACATTGTTGAACCTAGTAAAAGTGATTGGAGCTCACCGTGTATTCTTGTAACAAAACAGGACGGTTCGTACCGATTATGTACAGACTTTAGAAAGGTGAATTCTGTTACCAAAACTGATTCATATCCAATACCTAGAATTGATGACTGTATTGACAGCATTGGAAACGCCAAATTTGTCAGTAAATTTGACCTGTTGAAAGGCTACTGGCAAGTG